TCGACATGTCGTTCTCTACGCGACACTGCGTTGGCCGCGCGACGTGATGGCGGTACTACGCGTGCCCCCTCGCGCCGTCCTGCATTGGATTACGATTGTGACATTTGTGTTCATTGTCATCGCCCTCGTCCCCCGCTTCGTGATACGACGGCCCGAGCCAGCTGCGCTGAACAACGTCGAGCAGCCGCCAGACTCGGAAATTCCCATTCCAAAGTACATCTGGCAGATCTTCTTCCCGCCGCCCGGCACCGCTGTTATCGAGCACGACTTCGTGCATGCCGACGCCTGGATCGAGCTGAGTCCTGGATACACGTACACGCTCGTCGGTGCCCGCGCAGCCGACGCCTTCATCGCCGACAACTTCGCGAATCGACCCGAGATCGCGACGGCTTACCATGCCCTGACCAACCCAGCCCTCAAATCCGATTTTCTGCGGTACCTCCTCCTCTATATCCACGGCGGCGTTTACAGCGATGTCGACACCAAGCCTGTCGTCCGGCTCGACGACTGGATTCCGCCCGAGAAGCGGCGCCAGGTCAAGTTCCTCGTCGCCGTCGAGTACGACGAATCGCTCGATCCCCATCCCGACGACTTTACATACAAGGTGCAGTTCTGCCAGTGGACCATCGCTGCGGCGCCTGGCCATGTGGTCTTTGGGAGGATGATCGACCGCGTCCTCGAAGGACTGCGAGACGTGGCTGCTGCTCAGGGCACCACACTGGACATGGCGGAGATTACGAACTACAATGTCTTGAACACGACGGGACCGGTAGCCTGGACGGAGGTGGTGTTCCGTCTGCTCCAAGAGATGGATCCCAACATCAAGAGCTATGACGATGTGTCCCAGATCAGAGAACCGTGGTACTTGGGAGATACTGTGGTCATGCCCTTGGAGACATTTCGCGCGGATTATCTAGATGAGTGGCGAGTGAGCTGGCGGAAGGGCCGAAAGGCCCTCGTCCGACATTTCTTCAAGGGCGGTTGGAAGAAGAACCCGGAACAGACTTGAGCTGGTACAACACCAGGAGGTACGACATGCGGCGCAGGTACCCCCTCCAACCACCATCATGGGTCTGCGACCCGAGAAGGGCTTCTTGGATTATTTGCCAGGGGCTCTCTTACGCGACGCTGAGGCTTCCTCGGCGTCGTCGCCACGCCGGAGGTGTGTTGGTCCAATCCGAGCACCGACATGTATGCTTCCAACTGAGCCTTGGCCGGGGAGCAGGTTAAATCCCGAGGTCGAATTCTGCGATTCCGGCTGTTATTGGTATGGGAAAGCTTGCGTCCTTACCCCTGGTCACTGGGATATCCCTGATTTCTGGATAGGGCTGGCCGAGCCGGGATATGCTTGGCTGTGGGACTTGGTGTTGTGGGTAGGTATAGAATGCTTGGATCCATCAAGGTTGAACTCTGGCATTTTTCTTGGATCTACGAAGTTGCGTGGCGTAGTATAGCTGCTAATGCCGTGATATATACCCTCCTAGCTTGTTCAGACTAGAAATGCATCATTTTTGAAGAACATATCTGGCAGGCCGGATCTTGAGAGCTCTAAGCACTGCAGCGCGAGATATCTGTCAGCTCTGTTGGGCAAGTGACCTGGTTGTAAGTTGTCGACCAGCCGTTAACCGTTCCTAAGTATTCTTGTCAGCATAGACTCGCCTTGATGAGAACAGCGCTGCAGATAAAACTCACCTCCAGCCCAGTTGAACCTCCACTTGCATCCGTCCTGCAGACTAGCAGGCAGCTGGCTGCACTGCGACAGGCTCTGCACGCCGCCATACTGCGAGCCCCTATTTGTTCTGTCAGTCCCCACCCACTACCACTCACTCACAACAACATCCAGAGGATCTCAGAAATGACATACCACCCCTGCTTAGGCGCCCCATACTGGCTCTGACAAGCCTGGAGCCCTCCAACCCCGCCGCCGGGGGTATACAGATCGAAATCGCCCGTGCTGACGCCGAACGAGTTGATCACCTGGACGATCATGCTCTTGCCCTTTCCGGCGCCCGACGTCCAGGTGACGTGGAAACACTTGCAGCAGTTGGCCGTCTGCCAGTTGCCGGCGAAGACGTAGCTGAAGGTCGAGTTGACGATGATGGGCTGGTAGGTTTTGCACGAGTAGGCCGTGCCCGAGGAGCCGAAGCAGGCGTTGGAGGCGGCGCCGGTTATCTTGGGGTCGAGGAGGGTGTTGTTTTTGTAGCAGGCTGCTGCTATTCCTCTTTTTTATTGGGGAGGACTTGGTTAGTACGGGTTGGGCTTTTGGGGGGTTAGGGATGTGCTGGTGAGAGGGAAAAGGGGGAAAGGGAAAAGGGGCCGGGTAGGGGGAAGGGTATGGATGGACGGGTGGACATACGTGAGGCCTAGTTTCAGCGTGTTGGTGTTGCGGGTGTCTGAGCAGGCGGGCTTGCAGCTATTGAAGAGGAAGTGGTCAGCCATGGAGTATAGCGCGTCAATGGATGTTTTGGGCCTTTTGAACATCGAACTCGTTTTACGGATGAGAAGCATGCTTACCAGTCCCACGTGGTCGTAGTCGAACCAGTCGCCGCCAGCGCGACGGTCGAGAACAATGCAAACACAACCAGACAGACCTGCATCTTGGATTTGACAGTAAAAACAGCCCCTTGCTTGCCAAGAGCTGTCACGATGACATCCGCGTCGCCAAGACCGGGCATTTATACCAAATTCCCCATCCCCAAAACAACCTGGAACTGAACCCAACACTGACATGACGCGTCCACGGTCCTCACTTCTCACCCAGAGGCCATCACCGCCGCCTCCCTGCTTACCGAAGGAGATAACCAATTCCAAGCCAGGTATGACACATATATACGAACCACCACCTCTCTCTACTTGCGCTTCAATCACAGATCGCAAACCATATCGGAAATCCTCCGAGGGCCTCGAGATCTCATCTACGGATTATATATCTCTGGTCATGCCCCGTGCGCCTTCTTGGCGCAACGTTACTACCGACAGGGCAGCTCCGATACCTGATACGTTCGTTTCGACGATATAGGAAGCGGAGAAGACTCCGTTGTCTGTTTTTAGCCGGAAGCTTTATCTGTGTTCGCTGTTTGCTGGGAATGTGTGTGTGCCCCGCATGAAGATTGGATCGGGTTTGAGTGGTTGGGTCAAGCACACTGCAACCCTTTTATGCATGAGGTTCGGAGCTCAACCTGGTTAGACGCGCAATGCGGTTGCCGGATCGAAGGGCCCAGATCGTTTTTCTTGGATGAGATTGCCGGCCGGCATTGATGGATGGCGGTGTGGGACCTAGATTCGTGAGGATCGTGGCGGGTTATATGGTATCTCGATGTTACGGTCAAGATTCCCGCAGCTGCAGCTGGTTATCTCTTGGGGCTTTACCGAATCTCTGGAAACGGGATTAAACATTGGTAGGTATCTATCAGGACCGCCAATGTCTGCGAGAATATCCATGCCCATGTGCTGTTCATAAAAGAGGTGTATTACCTTCTTAGGTTGCGTGGAAGAGGGAATACTTGACCGTTTTATTTTCTTTTAGTTCGACATTCTAGAGTTCGATGTGTGACTCGGTGACCACTGGTTATATCTCCGGCACTTGCTTGAAGCTACCTTGGCGGTAGAATGCGCTGTTCTGGAAGGGTTGCGGGGGCCTTGGGAAGGGGTTATACCTACCTCCTACCTACTACCTACCTTACCTGGAAATCCACGGTCCTGGTGATGGTCTTGGCAATTGCAATGGGTCCTGGCGATGGTCCTGGTCCTGGAGTTCTGGTGATGGCTGAGGTGGTGGATTGCAGGGAAGAGTTTTGGACTTGGACAATTTTTTGTGCGTGGGTGCTTGTGTGCGCGCGTGGGTGGGTGCCTTGGGCGCTCTTTCCCTTACTCAAGCCAGCTCTTTCCATTTTTGCAGCTATCACCAGTTACGATAAGAGATCCGAGCCTTAGGTTCTCGTCGCAAGTCCTGTGCAAGGCTTCCATCTTTCCACCCTTTCCCGGTAAGATAAATCAAAATACGAAAAACTCCAACAACGCAGTGGTAGAACAGTTCCCATAGCTCAGGGGTAGAGCGTTCGGCTGCAGTAATTATATATATATTACATAATATATATATAAGTAGTGGATCCGACAGGTCTCGTGTTCAAATCACGATGGGAACTAAATTTTTTGCTTATATGTTATTATTTACCTTGAAAGACCAGTCCTGGCCCCTGGACAGTTACAATACTGTGGGATTCGATAGGTCACGTGTTCAGATCACGTTCACTCCTCCCTTTTTCCTCTTTTGCCTCTTCTTCGGTGGTTAGGATTTCAACTAGCTGGCAGGCCCCCTTTGTTGAACAAACTTTGTTGTGACAACAGTCCATGCCGGCTGAACCCCCTTTGCTACCTGGAGGGTGCAAGAGGCTGTTAGATTCCCACTCTATCAACACCCGACACCCATCGCTGGCACCCATTGCGCACCCCCATGTCTACGACTACCTACGTACTTACCTATGCACATAACACTCGGATTCCGCACGCCAGATTTGCTGATGTTCCTGGTCGTAGCTCCTGGCTTCTAGCTTCTGGTAATAGCCCTAGACCCTGGATCCGAACGAGTGTTCCTAGCAACGAGGGTTCTTGGCGATAGTAATAGCGATGGCGGTAGTCCTTTCGATAGTCCTAGAAGGCTTTATAGGTTCAACGAGCTTTCAGTTCCAGGAAAGCATCTTTCTAGATTTTGCTTTAGAAAAGAGCATGCAAAGAAGAAAAAGAAAAAAGAAAAAAAAAGGATGTTCCAGCCATAAGGATAGAGAATCTGGGCGGGCTGGGAATCGAACCCAGGTCTTTCAATGAACGCTTGAGGAGTATATTTATAAAACAACGCTGAAATCCGCTTAGGGAAGAAAGCACGCTCAGGGAATGCGCTGACCACTAAGCTACCCGCCCTGTGGTTTTGTTAACAGCAGTTCAGTGTACCACGAGCTTATCTAGCCCTCTCCTTGATGCTAAGGGAACAAAAAAAGAGTATTTGGACGGGCTGGGATTTGAACCCAGGTCTTTCAATGAACGCTTGTAACATATAATTGGAAATCAACGCTAGAATCCGCTTAGGAAACATGAAAACGCTCAGGGAATGCGCTGACCACTACGCTACCCGCCCTCTGTTCTGTTGGTATATGGTAGTGTGGTTTGGATCCATATACCCCCAGCTGAAAGTCTGTTGAGACATGGTGGTTAATCAGCATATATGACGCCATGGTCAACTCCTTTGGTGTCGTACAGCATGGGCCCTCAAGATGGACCTACCGGGTCTGTTTCGCCAGTTGCCTGTGTCACAACCACAAGGCCACATGAACATCCGACGGCGCACGACATTATCTGCGGGCACGAAACCCCGAGACTTTCCTTGCGTATAAAACCCATCCAGACGTGCACATGAGTCCCATACCCCGCTCCCCTCGCAACTTCAACGATCTGGAACCATGGGTCTCTACACCAAGCTTCCCGAGGACATCCAGGAGGTAGACGTCATCGTCGCTGGAGGTGCGTAGTCCCCAACCAGTATACCCGCCACTAACATGAATCCCTATCTAAGGTGGATCAGCTGGGTGCATCTTGGCCGGCCGTCTAGCCGCCGCCGACCCGAACCTGTCGATCCTGCTGATCGAGGGCGGCAAGGATAACTACAACGTCCCGAGCGTTATCCACCCAGCACTGTTCACCCAAAATCTCATTCCCGATACTGGAAGAGCGATATTCCATCAGGCTAACAAGGCCGAGGAGCTGGCCGGCAGGGAGGTCATCGTTCCCACGGGTGGCACACTTGGAGGCGGCTCGTCGATCAACTTTATGCTGTATACTAGGGCACAGCGCAGCGACTATGACAGCTGGAAGACGCCGGGATGGTCTGCTGATGAGTTGTGGCCGTTTCTGAAGAAGGTAAAGGCTCCTTGCAATGTAACCCCATCCATGGTTTGCTAATTCATGCAGCTCGAGACGTACCACGGAGAGGGAGATGCAAAGCATCATGGCCAACGTGGGCCGGTCCATATCTCCAATGCGGGCTATGTCGGCAGCTCCGTCGACGAGATATTTGCAAGTGCCGCTGCTATTGGTCGCCCGAGGGTTAACGACTTGCAGAATTTGGAGGATTGCAATGGCTTCTCCGTCTGGCTGCGGACTGTGTCGCCCGAGGGCCGTCGCCAGGACACGGCGCATTGCTACGTCCATCCTCTCCTGCAAGATGGCAAGCACGCGAATCTTCATGTTCTGGTGGAGAACCAGGTTGTGCGAGTTCTGTTCGACGACGACACCCGCGCTTCAGGGGTCGAGTTCATGCCGAACCCGGCCCACCAGCTTCAGCCCTTCAGTTCGTCCCCCAAGAGAACCGTCCGGGCCCGCAAGATGGTGGTCGTATCTGCGGGCGCAATGGGGTCGCCCCAGATTTTAGAAATGTCTGGAATTGGTAATCCTGTCATCCTGGAGCGGGCTGGGGTGAAGACGGTAGTGAATCTGCCCGGGGTTGGTGAAAACTACCAGGATCACCATCTCATCATGACGCCTTACAAAGTGGCGACGGATGACACGCTCGATGAGATCTGGAGTGGTGGTATCAAGGGAGAAGACCTCGTTGCTCAGAATCACAAGATTCTCGGCTGGAACGGGACGGATGTGTGTTCCAAGCTTCGACCTTCAGACGCCAACGTCGCCGCCCTCGGGGCGGCCTTCCAGGCGGCGTGGGATCGCGACTACGCAAAAAATCCCAACAAGCCGCTGATGTTCACTGGGGTCCTCCAGGGGTACGTCCTCCCAACACCACGAGAGACATACAGCTGACACGAGAACAGATACACAAGCGACCCAACCACCTCCGCCCCAGGCCGCTTCTTCACCATAGGCAACTTCAGCATGTACCCCTACTCGCGCGGCCACGTCCACATCACCAGCCCCCAGCTTACCTCCCCGCCCGACTTCCGCGTAGGCTACTTCACCGACGCAGACGACATCGACATCAAAATGCTCATCTGGGCGTATAAACACTCGCGCGAACTAGCCCGGCGCATGTCCTTCTTCCGCGGCGAGCACGCGCCAGCCCATCCCGTCTTCCCTCCCGGGTCCCGGGCCGCTTTAGTGGCCGACCTGTCCGGTCCGCTGTGGAAGGATGATCGCTCCGAGGTGCAAGATCTGGAATATGACGTGGTAGATGACAAAGCTATTGAGGAGTGGCTGCGGCGGACGGTGCAGACGACGTGGCACTCGCTTGGGACTAACAAGATGGCGCCGAGGGGGGAGGGGGGCGTGGTGGATGCGGCGTTGAATGTGTATGGGACTAGGGGTCTGAAAGTTGTGGATTTGTCGATCGCGCCGGAGAATGTAGGGGGGAATACGAATAATACGGCCATGATGATTGGGGAGAAGGGGGCGGATCTTGTGGCGAGGGAGTTGGGGGTTGTGGTCTCGGATGGGCCGTTGGTGGAGGAGATTGGAAGTTGCAATTGATCTATAATAACGAGGAGAAGGAAGGATAACCGACGCGCCTGGAGGGCGGCAGTTCATATCCGAAAGCTGCAATTAACCGTCCCTGATAAAACCCCATAACACGGGCACCTTCATCAGACAGATGAATCCAAAGCCACACTGTTCACACTGATCCGATATTCCCGTTACGTAGCGACTGCCAACCGGAATCAGCCACCTGGGCCTGACCCTCGCACATCTTGGGCGACAGGATAGCCACAACGGCGGAAACCATCACCACCCCCATGCCGTCTGTCAGGCCGTTGCTGCTGGCGGCACCGATCAGGTGATGGAGGGCGAATACGGCGATGAGGAAGGCTGAGATCATTTGTCCTTTGTGCCTGGGGGGGGGGGTCGAGAATTAGGTTGCGCCATCTTGAAAGGGTGGGGTGAGGTACGCATACCAGATGAAATGGCCGCTGTTGCAGAGAAACAACAGGACAGTGCTGAGCATCCAGACGCTGACAGTGCTGCAGAAGCAATAAAACTTAGCCCTCAGTCATCAGAGTCTCCTGGCAGCAGAGCGGGTCACATGTCGTCGGGGCAAGGAGTCTTGTGCGGGAAGATGAAGAGGGACTGAGGGAGAAAATAAGAACGAGGAGCGCTCACATTATTTTGACCCAAGTGGGTCTGCCGCTATCGAGGTTTTGGACCGGAACGAGAAAGATATATACGACAACGAGGCAGATGTTGAGGGCCAGGGCGTATTTGTAGATTGCCTGGCGCGTCTCGGATGTCTTGTCGGGGCCGCCGTGGTTCGCGCACCGGGCCGGTATCTCGGTTGCGACAGCAAGGTCGACGCTGTCGTCGCCGCCATACCCAGTGGCCGTGGGAACTGGTGTCATAGAGACCTGGTCTGCGCTGGGAGGTGAGATCTGAACGTCAATGGTGCTCATGGCGATTATTTTGCAGTGGTCTTGATGAGATGGATGTTTAGGGGCCACACCCTTTTTGCTCTCGGCGGCCTATTTCGTGATGCCTGGCTCAGTTGTAAACTGGGTGAGTCTGTGGCAGGTGGTTTATATGAGAAGAGACACAGATATTTCGGACTGTCGCGGGTTTGTATACTGTAACGCAACGACGCAAAGTTAAGAACGTTGAGAAAGTTCGAAGGCCGCGAAAGGTTAAGAATGACAGGAATCAAAATCGGGAGGCCCGGGTGCTCGCTGGATAGGTATTGAGCCGCTGACGAGCCAATGGTTGGAGTTCCTAAACCCGACGTAATCTGCCCCCCGGTGGTTTGGGCCAGATCGAGCCAATAGCAGCGATGCAGGCAGTGAGTGCATCGTGGGATTCGAGACAAATAAGGTACCAACTTTCGCTGACAGATTCACGTGATTAAGCCTCCACGCGAAAAACGGTAGCATTTTCTATAAGTGAGACGGAAAAAAAGGGCAAAAGTAGTACAGGCCAGTAAGAATCCATTTCGAAGCCGGTGATAAGAAACGGGTGGGAATCTAGAGGAGTGCGGATGGAGTAAGTCTAAGTGGTAGATTGCCGGTAACCGTCAGATATCCGAATAGTAGGATGGGTATCTCGTGATCGCTTCGCTCTTAGCAACATACCTCCATACATCGCTGTGAGTATCACTGCGAGACCCTTTCTGAACGCACTCTGGACAAAAGCGGACATGTCAGCGTGAGTCAGCGAGGAAGATATCAGCGAACATTTAAAGGTTTACCACAAGCACCTCGTTCTTCATAACAGCCCAAAGGCCACGTGTAAGCTATCTTTTCGCAAACGAAACACCTTCAGATTTAACATGCGTGACCCTCGGAATTGCGCCTTGCATAGCTTTTCAGATATCCCCCAGGTCAAGTATGCAGATATTCGTTGACGTGGAAGTGTTACCTGCTACCGGCGACCACCATAGCCACCACATAGAGGTGTCCCACGGCCGAAAGATCACTTTTGAACTCAGATTTCCACGATGAGAAACAGCATTTGCCAGCAGCCAGGAGTCGGAAGACCATCTAGCGGTGTCTAACCACAAGATATGTCAATTCTCGGTGCTGAAAACGACCCACAACCCCGAAGATGGTATCCGCGGAGCAAATTGAAAACAGTCGGTCATAGTATAGGGCACCGACATCTCGCCTAAAACCATTGGCAATAGACTCTTTATGTTGGCCTGGATGTAATTAGTTATTACTGCTGTAAACATTCCACGAGACAAAGACTTGAGTTTATCGAAAGGGCCAGGTTACTGATATCAGTCGTAACAACAGTTCTCACGGGACCGAAGACAATGATTCTCAATCACCGAGTCGTGCATGATTCTATGTCTATCGCTCTATCCACGCCGACCTGACCCTGAAGACATTATGTATCGGATCTCCAACAGACCATAGCTATGAGATGCAACCCAACGGCCGGTCCGTCTATCCTACCAGACCCCCAAAAGCATGTACACAATCCCAGAAAGTCTATTCAGGTAAAACACCACTCAGTTCGCCATCGATGAGCCGCCGCGCGAATTCCCTCCACGTCCACGCCCACGTCCACGCCCACCTCCTCTCCCGCCCGACGATCCACCCTGACCCAGTCCCGGTCCCTCCGAAGGGCCCGTCGACTGACGCGCCCCACCACGACCCCGTCCACCCTGGCCCCGCCGTCTCTTACCCGGCCGGCTACCATTCGACT